GACCAGAGAAAGGAAAAGGCACATTGTTGTGGGGACATTATGTTTTTTTTTTCCTAATCGCTATTGCATAAAAATGCACAAAGCCTGGCATATGTTGTAGGTGTTGCTTAAGATACTCGAGGTTCTTTCTAGGTCAGTGTCAGGCCAAGTCAATACAAATGGTCATTCCAGTTTACCCCAAACAAAAAAAATCTTGTTAACTGTTTAGCTAATATTTTAGAAACTGACACTAGAAGTACATTTTGAGATCTTAGGAACCTGAGTTATTATCTGACTAAAGCTACTTGGTCATTCTGGAGCACTCTGGAGCCCTAGTTTTCTTTAAGCAATTGTCAGATAACAAGTAAACTTTTGAAACCCATAAAGAAAGTAAACACTATTTCAATAAAATATTTTAATAAAATATATGACATCTCAACAATACTCGTTTATTTGTGAATATTAAATATTAGCCATACTATCACACATCAGTAGTATTCTATTTCTAGGCTTCTGTTGAGCAGTTTATATGCAAGTTTCATCTCAATAAAAACTACTGTATGTATTAAACACTAATACCCATTCAATGTCAATATCAAAATAAATAAATCCCCTGAAAATCATATAATGGAAAATTTTACACTAAATGTTCAAAAGTAAATATCAATGGCAAGATTACATTAGTTATACTTAACATAGAACAAACTTGGTACCAATTAATATACACATATTGTACTGGGTTGGAATTCACCAGCCTGTCATCCAAAAATTTTAGTACTTATAGGAATTATTGGTCAAACATGCTAAAATATACTGTTGCACCCAAAAAGAAAAAAAAGTTTTGTACTACCAATTTTGTAGAGCATGAGAAAGACGGCAACAACCTAAACTTTCCTACGCCTAATATAGCAAATAGATGTGCAGTACTTAATTAGTCCTAGAGTTGCTTATTTACACCTAAGATCAGTTAGGTTGTATAGTTACCATTATGCTTTTCGGCTTTCCATTTGGAGTACTGTATTCCAAATGGAAAAGCCAAAAAGCGAAACCATCGCCATACCATCCAGCGACGGTCTGGCTTCATGCAGGTCGGCATTCAATTCCCGACCGTCCATGTGATTGGGCACCATTCCTTTCCCCCGTCCCATCCCAAATCCTGATCCCGATCCCTCCAAAGTGCTATAGTCCTAGTGGCTTAGCACTTTCTCCTAACAGTTCCCTTTCCCTTGGAGTATTCCAACGGTACAAAATGTGAAATTTTTTGGGGTACAATAATTCAGTTTTGTACATTTGCCAATAATTGCTACAGTATAAATACTATACTATAATTTTTAGGATAGGTTAGAATTGACTTAGGTAGCTAAGTTAAAGCACTCCCATAAATGGTTACTCACCTTATTAAACACTAAGGCGTCAATAATGTTTTTCCACAAAATATATGTTTATGTACACCGATTACTGAAACTTATTTACCTGTATTTATAATACAGTACAGTTTAGCCTTTTTTTTATTTCTTGTAAAAAGAAAACAAGGAATGTAGGTCATTGTACATCAGTTACACTTTGTTTTTACCAATTTGTTTATGAATAAATATTTGTCACTGATTTGTTATTGATGTTGTACTTGATGGTAACAAAAATGGGGCCAAGGCGTGTATCACTGGTTACCACCAAAGACTACTTTAAGTAAAATGATTTGTCATCATCAGGACAGGAACATTGTTAGGTTTATCTAGGTCTCCCTATAATAACACCAAACCTTTTCCCATGATGCAGCACACACCAGTTACCTAAATTCTGGAGTTCTAGGTACTGTTAGGTGAACTGAATCATCAGGTGAAGGGACACATGCTCGAACGACTCCATCCTGCATGGGAATTGAACTTGGGACCTTCGGGTTATGAACTAGCTGTGCTGACCAGTGTTACAGAACCTAAATAATACTATCTAATCTTGAGATGATTTCGGGGCTTTAGTGTCCCCGCGGCCCGGTCCTCGACCAGGCCTCCACCCCCAGGAAGCAACCCGTGACAGCTGACTAACACCCAGGTACCTATTTTACTGCTAGGTAACCCTACCACCTACTACTACTACCCTACATCTATTTCACTACAATGTGTACAGTATATCCATCATGGTTTAGACAGTCTTTGCCAACACAGCCACTGTATAGTTCAATATCTAACTATTAGCTGCTGTGCCTCAACTCTTTATATTCACTTAGTTTATCTGTGCATTATGCCCCTAACAATGTGTGCTTAAACCAACATGGACCAAACTAATTTACAAGGTATGATTGCATGAATTTTTCAACGAGTGATTTGCAGCTGTAATGAGCCATCCTAATATACAAGATGATAATATAGAATGCATGTTAAAAAGAAAGCAATTGCAGGCAAGGTAAAATGGTATAGTAAAGGGGGATTAAATTTAAGGAAATGTGAATAAACATCTCGCCTTGCCCAGAAACTGATTCCAGGACCAATTGACTGTGCTTACCACTCACTATATTTAGATAAATAAATAAAGGATAAGCTGAAAACATAGCTTATGTAAGTAGAGTATCTGAATTCTCGATAATATTCTGTTGTATCAGTCAATACAACAGAAAATTGGAAAGTACTGTATGCATATACAAAGTACAGTGTATTTCCCTTTATCTGGAATTTCCTTTTCCAGATCCTTGGATTATCTGATCATAGAAATACTTGGTTCCAGATTCCCATTATCCAGATGGATGTTTGGTTAATAGGCATCCACCGCCATTAACCAGGAAGGCCACCTGGGAAAAAAATAGCACAAATATCTATATCTAACCTAACAAAATAAGCCCATCCAAGCTATCTCACTATATAGTGAAATTTGTCAGAAGATAATGAGTCACAGTAACGTGGCTGAAGAAATGATGACCAAACCACAACTCAGAAGATGGGGAAACAACGAAGATTCTGTCTGTCCTGGACCATTTTCAAGTTGTGTGTCATTATTATGCAACCTGATAATGGTGCAGGATGGACAGAAATGTCGTCGCTTCTCCATCTTCTGAGTTGTGGTTTGGTCATCAAATATGTTAATATAGTCGTAATGGCTTAGCATTTTCCTCTGATAATTCCCTCCCTCCCTCCCTCTCTCCTCTCCTTTTATTATCCGATACTGTAAGCATTTATAGTACAGTACATACTGTAATATGAAAAAAATTGTGTATGACTGCATGAGTAGCAGACAGTGACATTAAAATTGCACAGGCATGTCAGTGGCATTCACCCACCCTCACTCATTCACTGCTGCCTGTTTGCATCTGTTTCTGACCATATAATACAATACCAACCAGAACAATATGAAAGATTATAGGAATAGAATGCCTTTTAACATGAGAATCATAAATCATCTTTTAGCTGGTATACATATCTAGGCAAGTGGGGGGACCTTCGACAAGTACATAAGTACTGTAATTATCAATAGAAGGCACCAAGCCAGGGAGGCTATGTAGCACCATAAAAAATGTGGGGCATTCAAAAGGTGCTAAATATCGTTAAGGATCCCAATATGAGAACAAAAGCACATAAGGCAAACAACATCAAAGGTATCCGATTCACTAAGGATACTATTGAGGGGCAGGTGACCGCGAGGGACAGTTGGGAAGCAAGATGCACGCACATCCTGGAAGTCTGGACACTCAACAAGGATATGCACTACCGTAAGAGGGACAGTGCAATTCGGACAGTAAGGAGAAGGGCGGCACTCCATTAACTGCCTGAGTTAAGCAGGTATGACCAATACGTAACCTCACCAGAGCTGTTTCCCACCGCCGGTTACGGTGGTACGAGGAAGGCCATGGGAACACACTACCCTTAAGAGCATGCAGCTTTTTACCAGTAACAGAAGACCAATGACCCTGCCAACGGGCAAGGATTGAGGAATGAATAACTGGGTAGAAGTCGGAATAAGGAATACCTTATGAGACAGGCGCGGATAGCTTCCTTAGCGGCAGCGTCCGCACGTTCATTTAAGATCACATCTTTGGGGTTTGCTAGTTGAGTGGACAGTGCGAAGACTCGTAATCCTGTGGCCCATGTTCGATTCCCAGCGCCAGCAGAGACAATGGACAGAGTTTCTTTCACCCTGTTACCTACCAGTAAATAGGTACCTGGGAGTTAGACAGCTGTTACGGGCTACTTCCTGGGGGTGGGGAGTGTGTGTGGGAAAAAAAAATAGTAGTTAGTAACAGTTGATTGATTGACAGTTGTGAGGTGGGCCGAAAGAGCAGAGCTCAACCCCCACAAGTACAACTAGGTGAATACAAATAAGTGAATACACCAATATGGCTGGGAACCCAGCAAAACTCGATTGTCTTAAATCTGCTGGGGATAAGAAACAGCCAAAATTGAATTTCGACGGCCACAGGATGGACAGGATTAAAGTACTCCAGAGCCATGAGGGGGCACTACGACAGTCAACTACAACAAAAAAGGAAGAACTATGGTGAGAAAGCAGTTGATGAAGAGCAAACAAAATTGTATGAAGTTCAGCCATGAAGACGCTAGTCTCTGGAGGTAGGTGACACATATAGTTGCAGTCAGGAAACACAACAGAGTAGCCTACACTGTCAGCAGACTTGGACCCATCTGTGAAGACAGAGATGGAGCAGGAGTGAGGAGGAAAAGGACCTTCGATAAGCCACCAGCTTCCTGTCCTCATCGAGGCCACTAGTGTTGGTGGCTTTCAGGTAAAACATAACATTTTTGGTCCAATATGCAGTATTTTTAAAAAATGAGGACTGGCAGTGGAATGAATCAGGCCATAGGTGGGGGGATGAGCTGTTACTGAGCTGAATATAGCCGTTACTTCTGACCAATATTCCCCACTCATATAATTAATCCATTCATGCCATCTTTTCATAAATACAGTATGAGAAATAAACAATATAAAGGTTTTTGACAGGAACTCTACAGGTAATGTTTACATAATTGTCTTGGCTAAGGAAGCCTATCCATGCTATCTACCCATAAATAAAGTTAAGGTGAAAAAAGGGAATGTTTATTAACATGAGAATCATCAGTAATTATCACAAGAAGGCACAAAGCCAGGACAACTATGTAGCAATATAGCAATAAATAACATGTAAGTGCCATGTATACAAATTTGTATCAAATGTGTTCAAGGGCTAGTTGACTTGAGTAATGGCTACCTGCCTCACCCAGCCTCTTGCCAATACAGTATTTCAGCAAAATAAACCAATCCCCATTATTGAATAAAAAATAAAGCAATAATTAAAGATTTTCTAATACCTGGAGCAATAAAAAACTTTATATCCTACTTAATAAGGGAGGGAGTGTGTGATGATTGCAAAATGTTGTCTGCTAGGTAATGTTTTCCTTATTTTCTTGGCCAAATAAACCTATGCTGTGTTATCTACCCATCAATATACTGGAAGATTTATTAATAGAACGCTTACTAATGCAAAGAATTAAAAAGCTGGTAAAAGTTTCAAGCATTCACTTTGAGAGCTGCCTTAGCACCCACCACAATCTTTTTTCAGTTGTCAAAATACCTAGAGGTACAAATTGGTTCAGATAACCAGTCACACTGTACAGCATTATTATATGAAGGCAAGAATTTATTTTAAGAGAAACCATATACCACACCTCCCACAATATTAGTATATTCAGGCACAATACACTATAATGTCCCCTAATGATATTTCAGTAATATGTACATCCCTAAAAGCAACAGTTATCTTACTTTGGAACATACATTTAACAGCTGGACAATCTTAAATACATTTAATATACAGTATTATAAAAATATACATCTACACAACGGTAACTGACTCCGTGATTTTGATCTGATTAACTTGCAGGGTTCTGCTATAACATGTGGACGACTGTAGGCTTGATTCATAATAATATAAGAGAAGCTGCATCACGAAAGTAGTAACACACTAAAGGACGCGATGTAATTTACCCACACTTGAAAATTATAAACAATGTAGACTATGTCACAAAACTCACACGACTATAATTTTCTTACAAAAATAAATAACTATGTATGTGATGAGAAATAAAACTATTGCACAAAAACTGTGATGCAGTTCAATAATTATTGAAATTCAGAAAAATATATTTAGTTAAAAGACAGAATCACAGTACTTAAAAAAGAATTTCAAATGTATCTGAGATAAGGAGCATGAAGCTGTATTACTTATGCTCAAGCAACATGAAAAATATAATTCTATTGGGCTTTTATAACAGTCATACATTGGTCTCAAATTGTAAAAATTATATACAAATAATTATCGTACTATATTTACACACTCAAGTTACACATGTTAACAAGTATTCATGAGCGAGTATTTTACAAGAGTACCAGCACAGTGGCCGCCAGTGGAAGCCCAACATTCACCCCTTGAGGTTACCTTGAGGTGTTTCTGGGCTTAGCGTCCCCGCGGCCCGGTCGTCGACCAGGCCTCCTCGTTGCTGGACTGGTCAACCAGGCTGTTGGACGCAGCTGCTCGCAGCCTGACGTATGAATCACAGCCTGGTTGATCAGGCTTGTCACACAAGTCCACGCGTGACAAGATCGGAAGTGTATGAAATATATTATAATGTTAAATTGAAAGAGTGCAAAAATTTGTTTAACAATAAAATTCATAATTTTTATACACAAAATAGTGAATACAAAATTAATATAATACACAAGTTTAATAAATTACTACACTATTGTGATGGACATTATTATGAATAACATTCATATTAACATTTACAAGATGCTACAGACAGATGATATATTTCAGTTTCAAGGGGAAACTTACAGTGTCTCCACCTTCTTATTAGTAATCCACTTCTTATGAATATATCTACCCAAGTCTGAGCGAAGGCACACAAGATAGAACATATAGAGAGAGATCTTAAACTGTGCCCAAGTCTCTGCAACACTCACTCTCACAGAACAAAGTGTTGAGTTACAAAGCGTACGTTGGTGCGCAAACAATGATCTTATGCAACATCGTGACATTGTAATGAATGACTTCATGCTGGAAAACAAGAAAAGACATACATTAATCAACCGGAAATAATACAAATATCCAAAAGTGATTAAATGAAGCATGAAAGGTAATAAAATGAGCATGGAATATGTGCCAGAAAAATTCAGTTATGAATGTACCTTCTATGCATGAATTTACAAACTTTACAAGTATTAGTCTACCTAGTATAATAGACAAAATGTATGGCAGAATAGCAACTGGAAGAAAATAACTGATAATTTAGTCAGTAATGATTTCTTATATGATAATTACTTGGCATTAAAGCTTCTTTATGCCCACTGTATACAAAAAACAATCATGAAATAAATGAGTAGAAAAAACAGTGAATGAAAGCGGCTGGTGCATAGAAAGCACTGGTTAGGAAGACTTAAGATAGGCACACATGCAGACGATGAGACACAACAACGTGGCTGAAGATATGAGGATTATTATATAATTATAATTACATGATTACTGTAAATACTAAACAAATAATAAACGTGTTGAAGAAAGTAAAGAGAGTCTGACTCCACTTCTTATGTAAAGGATCTCATAGCTCATTGAAAAGATGGATACGAAGAGTTAAATGCCATAGATACAACTGAAGAAAAAAACTTAAAAGAGCTACCTTTCCTGAGTGTTGAGAGAGAATTCAATGCCCCTAAGTAAATCATTGGTCTTAAAGATGAGAAGCATCTGACGTGGAACTCGATTCAGCACAGCAGAAATCTCGGGCAGGTAAGTGGCAGCCTGAGCCTTGATCTCATTTTGCTGCAACAGTAACAGTGTAAACACGAGTGATGTGCCAGCTATGTATAAGAACTTATACGGCAGCTAAACAAATATATTCATTTACTGACAGAAAACTATCAAATATATATACACTGTATGTTAAGGGTTAGATTTTAGCGTCATGGATTAAAAACTATTGCAGTGTCACACCTTTTGGTATTGTTCTATATGCTCTGTTAGTGAACAATTTAGTAACCAAGCATTTTACTATAAAATAATGAAGAGGAAGTGAATTTCCAATTCAATGAAAAGTTATAGATTTCAAAAGGTAAACAGTATGTGATAAATGATGTGTTCCCCTTACTACATTTTCAATATTATATATCATATATATTACAACAAAAATTATTCACACTCCAAAACTGGCATACAAGAGTAATTTAAATCAAAATGCTTAGACCCATACCACAAGCACTGCTTAATTATACCGCTAGTGAAATGTGAGAGCTTCTGATAAAGACTGATGTGTTATTGCTGGCAAAAACTCTACCAATTTATTGAAAGTTTGAAGAATAAACATAAATGCTGCTTCACTTCCAAATGAACTCGAGGAAAACTTTAATTATACCGTGCATAGGTCATACAAGTACAGTATATTGCTCAATACTTACTTCTGTTGAAGTCCTCTCCATTTTGTCAATACCCTTCGTAATAGAATTCCAGGATCGTCCAGTCACCATACAACTAAACAGTCCGTACAATTCACCAACACCCAACTCGGTCCCATTGCGTTTAATTTCATCAAGATCTGCATTGAGAATGCTAAGCCAGAACTTGCTATATGTGATTCGGAAGTCAGTTGTTAGATTCTGTAACAAAAATTATAATCCTGCTAAAAAAATTAAATTCTATTCAGTGAGTGTTAACCTAATGTAAGATAAAGATGTCATTTACCACAGGAGAAAAAACTGAAAAAGTTGTTAAAGAGAAGTTTAAAGAACTCACTGTATAGAGACCATGATCCAGAAGAATAATCTGAGCTTCATTGTTAACCTTTTTAACAAGTACATTGCCAGGATGTGGGTCGCAGTGAACATAACCATTAACAAAAATCATTTCCGAGTAGAGTTTACTAATCCTTTCGGAAACTTGGTTTGTATTTATGCCTTGAGCAATCATATAATTGCGGTCATTAACTTGTCCTCCTTCACAAAACTCCATCACTAAAACTCTGTCAGTTGTGAGGTTCCATTCAATGGCAGGGATCTACAAGGAAAAGATATAGATATTATTAGAAATATATATATGTAACTTAATTATTTTCAACCATTTGCATTTCTATAAATAACAAACCTCACATCAGAATAGAACAAATCTAAACCTCACTCCATACAGCATTTTCATAGAGATCTTCATGAACAACCTGCCATATGCAGTGATGTTTATAAATCCAGCATTAAATGAAATGAAATTTTAGGTTCTGTAATATGTTCAAAGCAGGAGAAATACATCACCTTTAACCAGGGTAAATGTGTAAACTGTGAAGCCACTTTTTCAGCATTTTTTGCTTCATGTGTAAAAGCTAACTCTTTTGGTAAGTTTTTCTTCATCTCCTCAACTAGCCACTCGAACCTGAACTCAGGGAAGACACGCGATACCATGCCCACAAGTAACTGAAAAGTAAAGAATGCATAATATAAATGACTTTTGGAGGTCACACACGAAATGAATACTTGCCTCCAAAAGAACAACATTTTTAAAATTGAAACCATTAAATGATAAAACAGTACTGCAAAACTTATGGAAATAAATGATACCATATGCATGATATTCTTAAATAAAATATGCATTTATTTCATGACTGAAGATCAAGATGGGACACAAAACCTTGGTGGGTTCCAGAACATTAAACAAAATATTTGTGTTCCTTGTCTGATACTCTCATAACATTAAATTATAAGAATCATTTTTCAACTATTCAGAGTCATTATTTGAACATCCAGTTACATAATGCATTATGAAATAACTGCACAGCATACTGAACAAGCAGTTCTTTAATATAATATAAAAAACTCCAGTTTTAAATAAACATCAAGTTAGATAACTGACCTCCATGCCCTTCATATCAACTTTGGAGTGAGACTTAACACTAGGGTGCTGGACCTTGACTGCCACTTCTTGCCCGCTGTGGAGCTTGGCTCGGTGAACTTGTGCCAGGGATGCCGCACCAAGAGGCTCGGGGTCAAATTCTAAAAATAGTTCTTCAGGCTGTGGAAAAGAAAAAAATTAAATCACCCAAATGAATTAGAATTATTGCAGAGTTACTACTGCAACAATCCACCAACATAAATAATGAAGACATTTACAGTCTATTGTACTGTCTACTGACCACAAAGAATTTAAACAGATTTTTACTTTCCTGGGTATAAATATATTAAGTACAGCTGTATTGAGTATAATTAAATTATTCATGAAGGTCAAAATAGCAAAAATAACAGTCCAGAAAGATCCTCAGTAATTTTTATTATTTGTTGGGGAGTAACATTTAATTTTTTATTTTTATTTTCAACTTTTTTTTAAACAAACTATCTATATTATTTATAATCGATAATTGTTGAAATAAATATTTAATTGTGCTCTCAAGAGGGCGAGAAAGGCAGAGTGATACTAAAGCCTAGGACAGCAAGCACAGAAAAGAAAGAGCAGCAAATAAAGTCAAACTAACCTTACAATTGAGTTCCTCCTCAATAACCTTGTAGACGTCTTCCAGTGGAGATTTGGGAGCACTGGAGTGCAGAACCTTCATGGTATTAACATATTCCCCAGGCAGCAAGTACTCCAGGGACCCCAGATGTTGACCAACCTGCCAAGAGTTCCAATGCATCATTCATCTATAGTGCACAATGAAATCACATGACCCTGATGAAAAAATATTGAGGCTGTTTGATAGGATCGAACCCACATACCTGAATTCCCCATCACGGTCCAGTTGGTAGTGTGAGAGTACCTGGGGTAGGTCAGGGACATGGCTTCAGTCCAATCGTACGTCTTCAATTTCATCCATAGTATTTGTGTACATAAGTCAACATAAAACCAGAATTTAAATTTAAAAAAATTACATGTAATTTCAATTAGCATATATCAAATAGAAGTACTGTATCTTACCTTAACAAAGGCACCACCATTTAAACAGCACAAATCTAATAACCGTTCAGCAGAGCGCTTGTGAGTCTGAAAGAGTAAAGAATGTCAGAATTCCCAAAAATCATGCCAAACATACGACAAACAGAAAACAGATGAATATTTTAAATATTTTATGTGCACACAGTGTTAACAGACTAATTCATCATTCATGCCAGCTACCTTGTATTGATCACATGACCCAAATCTTATTGAGAGTACAGGAGCAGATAACTTCTGACTCCTGCTAGCAGGCATAAAGCTTTCCCTTCCCATAGCTCATGGTAAGCCTTACCTCACTAGTTTTCCCTGAACACGACTCACCAATTGGTTAACGACCAGGAACCCAATTACTGCTGGGAGAACAGAGGCCAGGACATGAACCTAGACCTTGTAAGACACTGGGTGAGTGTGTTATCACGGCTCCACCAGGGACTGCACCGTTCACAGTATGAACGTCAGACAACATTGTACACAGTATGAACTTCAGCCAGCACTGTGCCCAGTATGAATATCAGATAACATTATATACAGTGTGAACATCAGACAGTGCTGTACACAGTATGGACATATGACAGCACATACATAGTATGAACATCAGAGAGCACCATACACAGTATGAATATCAGACAGCATTATATACAGTGTAAACATCAGACAGTGCTGTACACTGTATGGACATATGACAGCACCATACACAGTATAAACATCAGATAGCACCATACACAGTATGAACATCAGATAGCACCATACACATTATGAACATCTGATAGCACCATACACATTATGAACATCAGACAATGCATACAAAATATGAACATCAGATAACACCATACACAGTATGAACATTAGACAGCACTGTACACACTATGAACACCAGACAGCACCATAAACAATATGAACATAAGGCACATTATCAACATCAGACAGCATTGTACACAATATTAACATCAGACAGTACTGACATAGTATGACTAGCACTATACATAATATTCATAGCACTGTACAAACATTGAACATCAGACAGTATAATATATAGCATGAAAAGCATTGCAGAATGTGAATTACAGAGAAAATCCTAAACGCCTGATGTGAATGTAGCTCTACAGCCTTAGTCCTAAACTGAGGGCGAGGAACTACAGTACTAAGGAAACCTATCAAAAAATAATTATTGAAACATTCCCTAAATTGTATAAAGAATATTAAAGCTTTTTCAGGGCACTTTTGACCTGGCGGTGTCTGGGTGATAGTTACCTCTGACTTGATCTCTGCATAGTTATGTGATTCTGGCGTTATGTGGCCAGAGTAGAGTGACTTCCGATAATCAGCTACAATTTTGGTTACCTAGAGAGCCCATAAATGAAACATATTAGTAATATATTTAGTTATGGCACAGTGCAGTCAAGCACTGCAACCCTAGAAGTTATGGCACTTATGTGTCTTAATTACGTTATCAATATACAGTACTGTACTTATGAATTAGGAGAAAAATAACTTTCCCAGGATTTTAATATACATTTTACATAACAATTACTGTCCCAATAAGCTATACCATACACTTTTATTCTAATATTGTAGATGAACAACATGAACTTACTGTAACAGCTGCTCGACCAAACCTAACAGCCCCAACTGCTGCAATTTCTAGCTCATCGATATTGTAAGTTATCGCAGCTCCTCCAACTCCCAGAAGCCCTAATCGTAACACCATACGATGAGCCATTCTGTTAGATATAATATTTACTGTATTAAAAGCATATTTGACCAGTATAGTACATACACAATAGTAAACTCATCACAACCTTGGCAAGGACACATTCCCATATACCTCATCCAAAGATTTAGCAGGGAAAAATACTGTTGGATACATTCCAGGGCTAAGAATTTTATTAAAAGAGAAATTTAAATGCATTTTGGGCTACACCACATTGGCTTTCCTGAGTTTATACTCTAAACTTTACCAACAATGCTAACACATACCAGATATCTGAGAGACGCTACTTCCCATGGATAAGCACAGTACCAAAAACCTCATAAATCATCCCATCCTCCTTTTTAGATAGTAGATTTTGTACCTATGTGCATCAAAGTACAAACACTGATGTACTAAGCAATTGGAGAGTGGAATTTGGTACTATTCACTTTATAAAAGCCAGAAAAAATGAGGCTAAAAACAAACTTAAATATTCCTAGTATAGCCTACTATAGCACATATATGTAGTATGTTATGCCTCAGATAGCATGTATTAGGCCTAGAAAGGTTAGATTAAGTTAGTTTAGGTTGTCTTTGCAACACAAATACAAAACCTTTTCCAGTTTGTCTAAATTCAATAGTACAGATTTGTACCTTCTAATTGTGTTGTAAGTGATATGTACAACATCGATATTACAACAATCAATATTAAAACACCTAATTGTGTTGTAAGTCCTCAGTGTTACAATAAGTAATACCAAAACAGGAGGATGGGCTCCATAAATTGTAATAAATTTTGTTTATGAATCTTGGGCAATAGCCATCTTTCAGATTATTTAGGATGACATATCTCTTAATACTGTATGCCAGAGTAAAATGTAAAAATGTAGCAGTAACCTAGTGATAACCAGTACGTCACTCTGCCATCTCAATCTCCAACTACATAAAAATTGCAGCTTAGAAATCTGTTAAGAATTTTGCCAAGTGACTCCTGCAAAAAAAAACCAAAGAATGTGTAATTACCTAAGTGTAATTACCTAAGTGTAGTTACAGGATGAGAGCTACGCTCGTGGTGTCCCGTCTCCCCAGCACTCTTTGTCATATA